TGGATTTCTGTGGACCTCTCTAGCACTTTGCTTCTTCCTATTCTCATGTGGTCTTCATTTATCATGGTCTCTTATTCCTTGTTCTCCGTCTCTGTTCTTAATCCAGCTGGGATCTCCCGCTCCCCTAAGCTCTCTTTCCCTTGACCCTTGCCCTTCATTACCCCAACTCACGTCCAGGTTGTTCATGTAGATCTCATCCATTTCTCTGTCATTGGGTGATCCCTGTGTCTTTCTTGGGGTCCTGTTTTCTAGGTAGCCTCCCTGGAATTGTGAGTAGCAGTCTAGTCATCTTTGTTTTACATCTAGTATCCTCCTATGAGTGAGTACATACAATGTTTGTCTTTCTGAGTCTGGGTTACCTCACTCAGGATGATTTTTTCTAAATCCATCCATTTGCCTGCAAACCTCATGATGTCATTGTTTTTCTCTGCTGAGTAGTATTCCATTGTATATATGTACCACATTTTATTTATCCATTTTTCAGTTTTAGGGCATCTAGGTTGTTTCCAGGTGCTGGCTATTACAAACAATGCTGATATGAACATAGCTGAGCAAGTGCCCTTGTGGTATGATTGAGCATTCCTTGGGTATATGCCCAAGAGTGGTATAGCTGGGTCTTGGGGGAGATTGATTTCCAATTTTCTAAGAAAGCACCATATTGATTTCCAAAGTGGTTGTACAAGCTTGCATTCCCACCACCAGTGGAGGAGTGTTCCCCTTGCTCCACATCCTCTCCAGCATAAGCTGTCTTCAGTGTTTTTGATCTTAGCCATTCTGACAGGTGTAAGGTGGTATCTGAGAGTTGTTTTGATTTGCATTTCCCTGATGATTAGGGATGTTGAGCAATTCCTTAAATGTCTTTCAGTCATTTGAGGTTCCTCTGTTGTGAATTCCAGGGATCAAACTCAGGTCGTCAGACTTGGGAGTAAGTACCTTTATGTAGCATGAATTGTTACAAGGTCTTATTAATAAAATCAAACCCGGAGCCAGGTACTGGGGTTAAAGCTGGAAGATCAGAGAAGCAGAACACGACACAGCTAGCCTCACCTTGCCAATTCCTCAGCTGATCCTGTTTCCTCAGACTAGAAGCCTCTGAGTCCTTATCCAAATACATCTCAGCTGAACTGCTGCTCAAAAGCCTAAAAGCTTAACCAGGCCCTAGATCCTGGTCCTCACACCTTACATACCTTTCTGCTTCCTACCATCACTTCCTGGGATTAAAGGCATGAGTCACCATGCCTGGCTGTTTCCAGTGTGGCTTTGAACTCACAGAGATCCAGACGGATCTCTGCCTTTGGAATGCTAGGATTAAATGTATGTGTGCCACCATTTTCTGGCCTCTATATCTAGTGGCTGTTCTGTTCTCTGACCCCAGATAAGTTTATTAGGGTGCACAATATATTGGGGAATATAATATCACCACACCTGTACCCACTGAACATCTCACTGTATGTGTGGCGATTCGTGTGTGTGCAGGTGCATGTGCAGGTTATAAGTGCATGCATCAATCATGGGTGTCTCTCTGGACGGCTCTCTACCTTATTTATTTCTACGTGTATGGTGTTTTAGTGCATGCAGTAACCTGAGAGAACAGAAGAGGGCATCAGATACCCTAGAATTGGAGTTAGAGATAGTTGTAAGCTGCAATGTGGGTTCTGGGAATAGAACCTGGGAGCTCTGAAAGAACCACCAATACTCTTAACTACTGAGCCATCTCTCCAGCTCTTTCAAAGATTTTAAGATAAGTTCTCACACCATATATAAAGTTCACAATTCAATTCGGCTGGCTAGCCAATGGGGTCCAGGGATCCACCTGTCTCTTCCCCTTTAAAGCTGTGGTTATAGACCCTCACAACAGTACTTGGCTTTTTTTTCTTCTTCTTCTTTAACATGGGTACTAGAAATCTGAACTTAAATTTTCATGCTTTTGCAGCAGTTACATTACTGATTGAACTATCTTCCTGGCCTCTCATTTATAAATTTCTTCTTAGTCATCTCAGAGGTAGAAACTAGTGGACTTATTAGCTAAGAATTGGTTTATATGAGTTGGGCAGTGGTAGTGCACACCTTTAATCCCAGCACTCAGGAGGCAGAGCCAGGTGGATCTTTGTGAGTTCGAGGCCAGCCTGGTCTACAGAGCAAGATCCAGGAAAGGCACCAAAACTACACAGAGAAACCCTGTCTCGGAAAAAAAAAAAAAAAATAGAAGAATAATTCAGTTAAGAATAGCTACTTAATTTCCACAACTAACCAACTGACCAGAAGGTTGTGTTAAATAGTTTTCTTCAGTTGATTGAAGAGATGAAACTGGAGGTCACTTGCAAATACACGTGTCTGTCTACTTGACCATCAATAAGGAAAGCATCCGTTCCTCTCTGTAGAATTCATGGGAATGAATGTTCAATTGCCAAGATCTAGAAACCACGGGTCATTTTATCCTGCATGATGATTCTGTGTGACCCTGTCCACTCACTCTCTTCTTTTTATTATGACAACTGTCAGCATTTGCAACTAAGTTGCAATGAACATTGGCATTTTATTTATTTATTTATTTATTTATTTTTTTGGTTTTTCGAGACAGGGTTTCTCTGTGTAGCTTTGCGCCTTTCCTGGAACTCGCTTTGGAGACCAGGCTGGCCTCGAACTCACAGAGATCCGCCTGGCTCTGCCTCCCGAGGGCTGGGATTAAAGGCGTGCGCCACCATCGCCCAGCTGACATTTTATTTTTAATTTATTTTTTTATTAAGAAATATTTTAATCATTTTACATACCAACAACAGATCCTCCTCTCCTCCTGCTCTTCCAGCTTTCCCTCCCCAACCCACCCCCCATTCCTTCCTCAGACAAGGTAAAGTCTCCCATGGGGAGTCAGCAGAGCCTGGTACATTCAGTTGAGGCAGGTCCAAGCCCATCTACCTGCAACAAGGCTATGTAAGGTGTCACACTTTAGGCACTAGGCTCCAAAAAGCCCGCTCATGCACCAGGGATGGATCCTGATCCTACTGCTAGGGTGCCCCTTTAGCAGATCAAGCTACACAGCTGTCTTGCTTATGCAAAGAGCCTAGTCCAGTCCCATGGAGGCTCCACAGCTATTGGTCTAAAGTTCATGAGTTCCTACTAGTTTGGTTTGGTTGTCTCTGTAGGTTTCCCCATCATGATCTTGATGTCCCTTGCTCATAGAATCCCTCTTCTCTCTCTTCAATTGGACTCCTGGAACTCAGCCTGGGGCTTGGCTGTGGATCTCTGCATCTGCTTCCATTGGCATTTTATTTTTTTGTTTTTTTATTTGACTCACATACCTTGTGACTGGGCCATCAAGGTATAAGAACTCCAAAAAAATGTCTTGCTGTGAAAAAAAAAATCACATTGGGACTGGAATGATAGGTCAGTCGTTAAAGTGCTGTCACATGTCATGAGCATCCATGTTCAGCTCTATAGTACCAATTTATTGCAGCACCATGCTAGCAAAGCCAGGAAAATGTTCAAGGCCTGCTGGACAGTTAGTCTAGGCAAGTCAGTCAGCTCCACGCTCAGTGAGGGACCTTTTCTCAGAAAGAAAAAAAAAAGTGATGGAAGAAAACACTAGGCATGCTCTCTGGTCCCCAAATATACATGTACATAAACATATGTAGCCTACATGAACACATACATACAAAAAAAAGAAAAATTATCCTATACTGACTATTGTTGGATTATATAATAAACCTTGAAGTGTCAGCGAGATAAAATAATTAGATTCTAATAGAAGAACTCAGGAGCACAGGTATTAAATGACTGGAAATGATAGAATTGCTACAGTTATGTGGCCTGGGTTCTGCCAGTTAAAGATTATGTGGCTGGAGATACATTGTCTAATGTCTCAGTTCCTAAATTAAAAGTAAGTGTTTGCATCTGAAAGAAAGGATGTAGATTATTTTTCACAAGCCTTCATCCTATTCTCCCGCATGGCTGGAGTAACACAACTTCCTACTGACGGTGTACAAGCGGTCCGCATCCTCACGCCATTTTCTGTTTATTTTCTTGGTGACCAACATTCTGAGAAGGGTGAAATGGAACCTTGATGGAACCTTTTTACATTTTTCTGGCTGTTTTTATTGGTGTTAATATATGACCCTGTGTACCCTCAAGACCCCAGGTCAATATAACACAGAGAAATGTGCATGTCGGTGTTTATTTCAGCACTTTTTTTTTGGTTTTGTTTTTCGAGACAGAGTTTCTCTGTGTAGCTTTATAGCCTGTCCTGGAACTCACTCTGTAGCCCAGGCTGGTCTTGAACTCACAGAGATCCACCTGCCTCTGCCTCTCGAGTGCTGGGATTAAAGGTGTGCACCACCACCACTGCCCAATTGCAGCACTTTTTATAAGAAAAAGTTTTGGAACCAGCCTTGTTGTCTACCTACAAGGGAATGGTGAAGAAAACGTGCTGCATATGCACACAGGAACATTTTAGCAATAAAGAACAGATTATTTCAATTATAGGAAAACGGATGTAACTGGCCATACATTGTGAATTGTTAGTCTCAGAAAAACAAACATCATGTTTTTTCTCATTTGTGGTTCTTAGATTACATACATGTTTATATATAATTGTGCATGACTAGATGACAAGAAAGTGCAAGTGTTACTGTCTTAGGGGATGGATGTAATGGGAGAGGGAGAAGCAGAAGAGAAAGAAGTGACCTGTGCAAGGAAAGGATATGCTTCAAGCACATAGGCTTGCACGAAAATGACCTTATATAACCCAGCATAGTAAAAGAAAAAAGAAAAGGAAAAAATAGATTTACATTATAAAAACTCAGAAGCCAAGGGTGACTACAGGCTTGCTAGCTACCTGCAGGGACAGATGTACTTGCATTCTGCTTCATGGTCAAGTTACCTCTATACTGCAATCCTGCTTATCCTCCCCCCAGTGATTGAACATGCACATAGCTGTTGCCCCATTCTGAAGTCTAGAGAGAAACAAATAGCCTGAGCGCGTGTTTCTTCCATCCCCTCTGCAGCAGCAGGCCCTGTCCAGTTGCTTTTCAGAATCAACTTCACCATCATTAACCTGGAGTTTGAGGAGGACATGAGTCACCCTGGATCCAGGAAGTTCAATATCACTGGGAGAACCCTGCAGAGCCTGGTGAGAGTCCTGCTCACTGAATCTAGCGCCCCCTACTGGTCATGCCATGCCATGCCCCTGGAAGAAGCCACTGCCCACCTCATCCTGTCTACACACATCCAAATCCGACTCACCACTGCCCGCTTTGTGCATCTCACTCCTGTCCTGTCTCTATCCCTCATTCCTCCTCCTCATCCCTCTCCTCTTTCTCCACAGCTCAGGCCCTTGTTCAAAAAAATCAGTGTTGGTCCATTATATTCTGGCTGCAGACTGACCTTGCTCAGGTGAGTCCTTAGAACAGCAAGCTAGAGTTGCTTAAAGTGCTCTCAGTCCAAAGATTGTGTTCAGATTTCTCCCTACATTTCTTCTGAATGTCTTATGCACAGGTGAATTCAGGAGGTACCATATCCAGTACCAAAATCTCTCCTGATCCTACTACTGCTCCCACAATCCTTAAACAAATCGGAACCTCCTTCTGCTCATCCATTTTGAATTTTCTCCTGATCCCCCCCCCTTATTTAGGAATAAATGAACATTTCCTATGAAGTTTAAAGTTGGTCCACATGATTTCTCTTAAGACAAATATGCCCTTTCTGCTCACTAATTTTGACCTTTGGGGACTCAATTATTATTCTTCAAATGTTTCATTTATGACCTCTCCTTTTCCCATAACACACACTTGCTTATTTGATTGTTACAATTGATAAAAATTTTGGACTCACTGTCTGCTCAGAGTTACATGTTACTGGAGGTCAATATGATAGAAAATCTACAACTGACTTTGTAAGTCTTTATCAGATAGAGACCCTTCATGTGCTGTTCCAGGTATCCTAGGATCCCTCCTTAGGCAATCAATTTATCATCATTCTCTTCACCTATCCTTCCCAGATCTGAGAACAATGGAGCAGCAACAGGGGTGGATGCCACCTGTACCTACCACCTAGACTCTGCTGACCACAGGCTGGAAAATGAGCAGATATATGGGGAGCTGAGCAGTCTGACCAAGGGTGTCACCGAACTGGGCCCATACATCCTGGACCAGCACAGTCTCTATGTCAATGGTGAGCAGCAGCCACCTGTGTTTTGCTATATTGCAGAGCCCATACACCTTCCTAGGCCTTCTTTCCCTCAATTCTACTACATTTTAAAACTCCTGTTATCTATGTAGGTTACACCCACCAGATCCTGACTACCACACCCGGAAGTGAGTATTCTAAGTTTCCTTAATTTTCTACCACATCGATCACTATACCCAGCCCTTTGAAATGAAAGAAAGCAATAGTTTGTTGTCTCCATTTCACTTTTCACCCAACCACCAGCCTGTGATGTGTATCACTTAAAACCCTAGCAGAACTCAGACTGGGATACCCATCCTGGTGTCTCTATATAGATTATGTCTCTACTCCAAATGGATGTCATTTTCCCCACAGTGTCCATGGTGAACATTGTTTCTTCAAGTATGCCAGCTCCCATCTCCAACCTCACAGGTAAAATTATCTCTGAAAATGCTTCCAGTGAATTCTGTAGTCAGGATAAAGGGTGGAGTAGTATGTCTAAGAGGATCCTAAGGTTGACCCTTGATGAATGACAGAGGGTCCTCAAAGGTCTGAGAATTCTCAGAATACTATTTCCCATCCTAGCATCCAGCCTCCAAAGCTGTTCTCTGATGTCTGTTTCTTAATGTAGGTGTCTACTGACTTCTAAATCTTTCTCAAGCTCTTAAAAGAATGTTAGCGAGCAGAACAGTCAGTCAAGAACAAATTGGTTCAGGAAGCAATGTATAAAAACACCAACTCATGATTTTATTAGCCCCCTAATTTGACCCACTTGACCAAATGACCAAGAAGTCTATGTGAGTGTGTGTGTGTGTGTGTGTGTGTGTGTGTGTGTGTGTGTGTGTGTGCGTGCATACATGCTTGTGTGTGCTTACACTTGTGGATGCCAGAGGTGAATCTCTGCTTTTTTCTTCAGGTGTCATCTTGGAAATATAGAGCTGAAGGGTGGTTCAATAAGTAAAATACTTCTCACTTAAGCATGAGGACCAGAGTTTGGGTTCCCAGAACCCACATGAAATCTGGGTGAGCATAGCAGCTTGCCTGTAATCCCAAACTACAATAGGCAAAGACAGGGAATCTCTGAATAAACTGGATAGCCAGACTAGCAGAAAGGACAAGCTCTGGGTTCTCTCTGAAAGATCTTGCCTCAATATATAATATACACTATGATTGGAGAAGACATCTGACATCAACCTTGGCTCTCATACATGTGTACATGCACCTGCACACACATGCCTCACATGTATGCAAATGCACATACAGATATGCACACCACACACACATATGTATGCCAAAACAGATAAATTTTATGACTCTATAAGCCTTTTCTTCTTATCGGAGCTCTCTGACCGAAGGCCTTACTCTGGGCTGACAATTGATCCTGCTTGGAGAAATTAACCCTGTCCCCTAGTCATCCAAGGTCTCCTTCTCTGATGCACATGCCCCAATGAGCAAACGTGGTAGTGGTGCATGGATAAAACTATGTAGAGCTCCTATGTTGTGGCATGAAGGGAATCAACAGAAAAAGAAGATAATTAATCCAAAGCAATGATAGAGGCAATATATGATCTACCAGTAGCCACACAACTGAAGAGCATGTCTTTACCACCACCCCCAGAAACCATTACCTGCTAAAAGCTCCTCAGAAATGACTAGATGAGCCCCTCCTTCATCCGTGTTAGAACTTCACTAGGCCCACTCTTGAATAGGTAAGAGCAGTTGTGAGTTAGGTGCAGCAGCCATGTGCTGTCCTGAAGACAGTATCCCACTGAGCTCTTCCCCATTCTTCTCTTACCTTCTTTCCTCCCCCTCTTCTATGATACTACCTGAGCTTTGCAGGGGGTGATATAGATGCTCTCTTTGTATCCAAGCACTGAACAGTTAGTTATTCTCAGCACTTTGACCACTTAAGAGTCCTTGCAGTTACTGCTGTCTGTTGCAAAATATGGTATCTTACCAAGGCTAAAAGCACATTGCTATTGATATTTTAATTGCCATCAAGTTTAATTACTAGTGTTCCTGTCATTCAAAAGAAGTTTTTTTGTTTTTTTTTTTCATTCTGGTAGAGACATCTTGAATTAGGTGGGAATACATGGGTCCAAGTGATATGAATATAGATTATGTCCTAAATCTAGTTCTGGTATGACTCAGGACTTAACTTCTCTCCTAATCTAATTGCAGCTTCCAGCTCTGCTCTGCTGCTGTATACTCTTAACTTCACCATCACCAATCTACCCTACACGGAGGACATGTGGGGCCCAGGATATGCCAAGTTCAACGAAGTGGAGGAAGTCTTGCAGTTTCTGGTAAGACTCCTACCCACCTCCCCTGCCTCAGCCACTCCATCACTTTTAGTCTTGCTTGCTCCCTCCAGCCATCCCTGCCACCTGTTTGTCCCACTCCCTTACTAAAGTCTCATCCACTTCTCTTTCTTGTTTTAATTACCATCAGCCATATATGTCCCTTGTGTTACACTCATTGGTGCTCTGTCTACCTTTTACCTCACCTACTTAAGGCTCACCTGTTCCCTCCAGTCACACCCTTCTTCCTTGCCTGGCTCACTGGTACCCCCAAATCACCCACTTCAGTCCTGCCTTCTTGCCCCACTCACTGATGACTCTTTTACCCCTTCCAGCATAACCCTCCTGTCTCTAGTTCCAGTCACTGATGACTGATTGGTTCACACACTCCGTCCATATCCATGTCCCTCTGTTACTGCAGTGGGCAGCAAGAATATATTATAGAGATTCAGCTGTATGTAATAAGCTATACCTTGACCGACCAAGAAGTCAATCAAGAGGAAGCCATTTATCAAGGAATATTTTGTGTTATTTAGATGTTAATATATATCATCTATCTTCTGCTATGAAATGCTTGTGTGCCCATACATTACTAGGCCATATGTCAAACAATTTAGCTTCTCAGATCTACTGCTGATCCACTAGGTAACACTCCTGCAGGGCCTAGGAGACAGGTGGATATGTGGATGCATAGCTTTGTTTTTTGTGCAAATGAAGCTCAGACCATCCCTTGCCTTCAGGCCTATTAGTATTGCAGAGCTCTTGCCTCAGGACAATAGGGCTTTTTGCATAACCAGGTGCAGTAAAGACTGGAGCAGAATTCCTGGTCCAGGCTGAGCCTTGTGGTCTGAAAGAAGAAGGCAGAGTTTCTGTAGCTGGTAAGGCAGAATGGCTCAGGCTGAGGAGAGAGGAGCAAGGAAGAGGTTATCAGGTAAATCAGATCAGGAGAGGAGAAGAGGAAGGAAAGATAGAGGATGAAGGAACAGGGGGCAAAGATGAGATCAAAAGCATAAGGTCTTAGTTATTACTAGGGCTATGAGGGGACAGAAAAAGTAGGTACAGAGAAGAGCTGAATGTGAGGACAGAACTGAAGCTGTATAGACAGAAGTTTGTTATAGAGAAATAAAGTAAACAGACAAAAGAGCAAGGTGTATATAGATTTCTTTCCACCAGATAGCCCCACGCCAGATGTAGTGTTGTTCCCCAGGACCCTGGGAGGGATTTTCTCAGGTTAGGCCCCTGGGAAAATTCCATTATGTTACTTCACCAACTAATGTTCCCTCAGATTACTTTCATAATACTCATTGATTCTCTACCCACATTTCCTAGCCTTATTAACATCTTCTTGACCTGCCTACAGATTATCCCCATGTACTACCCACTTGTCCAGCCCATTCACTAAAGCCCCACCCACCTCTCTATCTTGCCCTGCCATTTGTTTCCACCCATATTTCTCCTGTGACTCTCCATGGTGCCCTGCCCACCCCTTTCAGCCCAACCTACTTCTCTTGACTTTTCCTCTGGTGACCTGCCTACTTCCCTTATCCTATCCACTGTTGCCCCATCTACCCAATCCTACCATACTACCTTCTGTTTTCCTTACCCACTCACTAAGTTCCCACCCACAACCCCCTCTTGCCCCACCTATTGATATTCACTTGTTCTGGTGCCCACCCATCCCTCTCCTACCACACCCACTTCTTGCTTGCTCATGAATTCAAGACTTGCTCATTTCCCTTTCCCCACCCTTCACTAAAGCCCCACTAAGACCCCCATCTTGCCATACTTACTGGTACCTACCACATCTGTCTTGCTACACTTTGCCCGACCCACATTTTTCAGCTTTGATTACCTCTTGTTTCACCAACTTATAGCCCACCCACTCTATCCCTGCCTACCTTCCTTGCCTTTATCATTGGTGACATACCCACATCCCTTGCACTACCCACAGTTGTTCTACCCACTTGCTCCAGCTGTACCAATGTCTTGCTTCCCAATCCATTCACTAAAGCCCCTCCCCCCATGTAACACTGCCTACTTCCCCCTCTTGTCCTTCGTTCTGGTGTCTGCCCACATCTCTCATATCACATCAGTACAGGGCCCACCTACCCCAAACCTTCCTACTTTTTTCTTGCTACACCCACTAGTATCCTTTCCACCTCTCTTATCCCCACTCATTCCCTTCTTGTGACAGTCACTGAGGGCCTACCAACTCACTCTAGTCCTGTCTACCTTCCACTTGCCCAACCTTCCCACTAAAGTCTGCTTACTTCCCTTTATTGCCCTGCCACTGGTACACACACACACACACACACACACATTTTCCACACTCATGAGTACCCTTGCTACAGATTCTAACTGGTTTCCATCCCCACTGCCTCTCTCACCCATTCAGTCTCAGCCACATCCTCACTTGCCACACCCACTGATTCCCCAACCCACTCCTTCAAGCATCACACTTCTCTCTTGACCTCTTTCCTGTTTCCCTACTCAGACTGTATATTTAACTGAACCTTCTCTCTTCTTCACAGCTCAGACCTTTGTTCCAAAACACCAGTGTTGGCCTACTGTATTCTGGTTGCAGACTGACCTCACTCAGGTGAGACCTGTAGAGAAGACCACCCAGGAAGGCATGGTGGAGTTTCTATACATACTTCTCTATAGCTAGGTCTTCTTTTTGGTCTCAGCCTTTTTGCAGCCCCTGGGTTAGACTGGATTCTATACTTTCTCATTCTTCTTAACTTCAATATTCCATGTAGTATGTATTAGTTTCTGTCACAGAAACAAAAAACAAAACCCAAACTAAACAAAACAAAAAAAATCTCTGAAATAATCAACTTACAAAGAGAAAATGCTTTTTGTTTGTTTGTTTTTTGTTGTTGTTGTCTTTTAAACAGCCAGACTTGCAAAAATTCAGTATGTATCTGAGCATGAAATTGAACTTATGATTCTCTTGTCTTCACCTCAAGTGCTGGGATTACTGGTGTATATTACCAGGACCAGTGTATATGGTGATAGAATAATGGTATTCAGAGTCTCATGAACACTACATCAGCACTCTACCAACTGAGCTACATCATAAACCTAAGAGACAAGTTTAATTTTGATCAAGGTTTTAGAGGCGCATCTATCCACAATCAGATGGATCATTGCTTTTGGTTTGTAGAGGGGCAGTAGGGCTAAATTGACCGTGTCCAGACAAAAAGAAAAATTGAGGAAGAGGAACAAGGGGAATTCTACAGTTTCCTTGAGTACACACCCCACAGTGATTTAAAAACCTCTCACTCAGTGTCAACAATCCCCCACTTCCCAATAGCTCCACCCTAGGGATCATGCCTGTTTTGGGGGGTATGTGGATAACTTTTTTAGAAGTTTTTCTTTTGTAACATTAGAGCTGGTTTTGTACGTTGATACTGCTTAAATGTGGTTTAATCATGGAATGCTTTCCTTTCTCCATCTATTGTCATTGGGTTTAGTAGTTTGGACTCTAACCACCATCAATTACCAATAGTGCTCCCACTAATAATGGCCCCTTATGAGCTCCTCTCCATCCATACTAAAGTTGTGACTGGCTTGATCTTATGCAGATTAAAAAAATTTTGATAACATCACTATGCCCATTTTGTAGATGGGAAACTGAAACCAAGAGAAAATATTGAAGAATTGGGAGATTAGGGAAGTATGGGAATTAAGAAGGAAATGAGAGATTGCATCTCATGCCTCAAGACAGGTATATGATGGCCAGAAAATCTAAAGAAAAAGAAAAGCAGGTAGAGAAAGCCTAGGAAAGGGTAGAGTACATGCAGGGAAGAAGTACTCAGCTGCAAGTGAAAGGTAGAGAGGTAAGCCAAAACTGAACAGGCTATAGACAGATTAAGGATCATGTGGAGATACAGGAGTCTTCCTTCATAGGCTTTTAGGTATCCATGGAAGGATCCCAGCAGACATCTAACAAGATTTCCCTTTAGGAGGAGAATTGGTTTGCCATGATAATAATGGATCATAAGATTCAGGGCACCACTGAATCTTGGGTTCAGGAAGTGAAAGTAGAGCCATTTTCACCATAGAATTAAGGCAGCAGGGTGGGTCCTGTTCACAAGCACCTCAAGCATTCTAACGTTTTCTACAGTTTTCTCATATTGCTGTCAGAGAACCTCACTCAATGCTCCCCATTATCTCCATTCCTGGATCCTTCCATCCAGTAGCTAAAAAAGATGGAATAGCCACCAAATATATATAGTTTCTACCTTTCTATCAGTATTCTCATTTCCACAAGCCATTTCCTGTCATGTTCCCAGAATCACAGCATTCCTCATTAGTCAATCCACTTATTGCTGTCTTCTCTATCTGATCTTTCCAGGCCAAAGAAGAATGGAGAGGCTACCAAAGTAGACATGGTTTGCACTTACCACCAATATTCCACAGGCACTGATCTGGACAGAGAGCAACTATATTCAGAACTAGAAGAGCTCACCCACAGCATCACTCAACTGGGTCACTATACCCTGGACCAGAATAGTCTCTATGTCAATGGTAAGCTGTGGTCGTCTTAACTTTGTTGCAGCAAAGCCCATATTGTCCCCCTCTAAGAACATCCTTTATTCATTTTCCATGTACCAATCCTTATGCTCTTTCCTTTAATTTCACTCTGTAGGTTACACACACCAGATTGCAGTAACCAGCACCAGCAGTGAGTATTTAAAATCCTCCCACATTACAGTTGGAAGAAGCATGAGGTCCTGACCATATATCTAGTTAAAGAGAAAAGGAAGTGGTCAAGTACACAGGTTAGGAAGTCCTTGAAATCATGTCATGGAGTTGAGTGCATCCTTTCATTTTTTTGACAACAGAGAAACATTACTAAATTATAGTTGGATAAATGTGTGGAAGAAATTAGTGAACAATTTATAGAAATACAATGAGAATCTTGGATGAAGAGATCCCTTTTACACTTTGTAACTTCTCATTCTTTCTTTGGGGGGTTATTGAGCTGTATGTGTATGCAATGTGTCTATATTGACGCACTTCCACATATTTACATGCATATATAGGTCAATGATTGACCTGACATGTCTTCCTCTATCATTCTTCACCATATGTTTTTGTGGCAGGTCTTTCATTGAACCAGGAGTTCACATACTCACCTAGGTTATCCAGCTATCAAACTCCAGGAATTCAAAATGTCTTCATCTCTCCAGTACTAAGATTACAAGTATAAGCCACCATGCCCCCCTTTTTCTATGTGTACTTGGATACAGAGCTCATGGCCTCATGCTTGCAGAATGAACAGTCTTGCCCACTGAGCCATCTCCCACATTCTTTCCCTTGGCCTGAAGCACAGGATGGTCTAACCTTGCCCAAAATTAGTGAGCCAAGGATACTCACTCACCACTGTAGTCTCCAGTGAGATGTTGCCAGAGTCAGGACTGTGTCCTCAGGCTCTGCCTTCCTTGTGTTGATTACCAAAAAGCTTCTCTTCTCATTCTCCACCAACAGCTATACAATCACCCTTGGTATTATTTACCCTCAACTTCACCATCACCAACCTATTTTACGAGGAGGACATGCAGCCCCCAGACTCCAAGAAGTTTAACACCACAGAGAGGATCCTGCAGAGCCTAGTAAGTCCCATGAATTTTCTCCAGCCCTATTCACTTCATTCCAGCCCTGCATCCTCTTTATTCCCATCGACCTTTCTCTAGCACCCTTCCACAGTCTGCCTACCAAACTCCATCCCCTCACACCTCTCTCTAGACCTATCTTCTTTCTGGCCCCACCTATCTTTCTCCAACCTCCTTCTGCATCCTTCCCACCAAACTCCAGCTCCAAACACCTCTGATCAGTCTATGTCATTTCAGCCTCACCTTCTCTATGATCCCACATATCCGTCTTCAGCTCTGTCTACCTCATTCTAGTCTCGCCCCAGTTCTCCAGCTCTAGCACTCCTCTTTGGTCACTTCCACTGTGCTCAGCCATGTCTGCCATACTCCAGGCCTCTCTACCTATCTCTATATCCACACTCTCTCCAGCCCCACAGCTCTCACCCATGCCCACTTAACTTCAGTCCTTCTCATCCCACTAGTCATCTCATGTGGGTCCTACTTATGTCTACCAACACTCTGGATCACCAATGGATGATCACTTCACCAAAGAATAAGCCCTATCCTTTGGTCCCCCATCCCATTGCCTTACCTTCTACTTTATTTTTACAGCTTGAGTCCTTGTTCAGAAACACCAGCATAGGCCCTTTGTATGCTGGCTGCAGACTGACTTTGCTCAGGTAAGTTCTTAGAATGTCACCCCAGAGTTGTCACTGTGCTCTCAGGCCCACCAATGTGACCTACATCCCTCCTGCCTCTCTCTCAATAGCCCAGTACACATGGGTATTCAGAAGGGGGCCCCAGTCAAATGTTTCTCTTGATATCACCATTTTCCCTTGCAACTGTTCCAAGCCCCTACAGAGTCTACCAGTAAAATAAGACACCAACTCTGAGTACACTTTCCAGATTCTCTCCTTTTTCTCTCTTTCACAAGAAGACCCATTATCCCATACTTTCAATTCTATTTCTATGGTTTCCCTAGAAAAAATGCATCTCTAACTTGCACATTCATGTTTATTGCTGTTCTATTCATTATAGCAAGAAAAGGGAACCAGCCCATATGTCCAACAACAGATGGATGAATAATACAATGGTCTCACACACACACACACACACACACACAAAAAAAAAAAAGTAAATAAAAATAAATCTGTAGTCAGGCAGTGGTGGTGCATGCCTTTAATTCCAGCACTCGGAAGGCAGAGCCAGGTGAACCTCTGTAAGTTCAAGGTCAGCATGGTCTACAGAGTGAGTTCCAGAACAGCCAGGTCTACACAGAGAAATCCTGTCTCAAAATAAAGTAAAATACCTTTAATATTTTAGTTAAAAGTTAAAATAATAACAATAAATACAACAAAATATTAAAACAACAAATACAAATGTACATCACCAGTTGCTTCATTTTCCTATCCAGACACCACCTATATTCAAAAATGAGCTAGGCCTCCGGATTACGTAGTATGAGGATGCAAGTTTCAGTCTCAAAATGTGCTGACATTTGTCCTTCTCACCAACTTGTCTCAAAGAAGTAGTTAGGCCAGAAGACAGTGTACTCCAGAACTCATCTGATTTCTAATCTCCCTACAAAGCTTCCCATTTTACCGGAGTCTTCTTATCCTGCCCCCAGAGAGTCTTAGAATTTCATGGGCCAGATATATTTTTTAATTAAAAAAGATTTCTATTAATTTTAATTATGTATATGTATATGTGTCTGTTTATGGGGATGTGCATGTGAGTGTCAGGTGCCTGTAGAGGCCAAAAGAAGGTGATAGATACTCTGGAACTGGAGTTACAGGGAGTAGATACGTGTGCTAGGAACTCAACTCAAGCAAGTCCTTAGCAAGCTCAGCAACCACTGAGGTGTAACTTCAGCCTCCCAATAAAAAAAATGGCTGAGTGGTGGTGGTGCATGCCTCTAATTCCTGCCAGGTCAGACTGGTCTACTGAGTGAGTTCTAGGACAACCAGGGATACACAGAGAAACTCTGCCTCAAAAAAAAATTAATTAGCTTACAAGGTAGCAGGCTTTCTTACAGCATTTTTATACACACTTAGTTTTGATTGACACTTCTCCTTTCTTCTCCCCCATCTCCCTTCCATTCTTGCTTAAACACTTCCACAGGCACTCTTTCCCCCTGCACTTTCATATCACATGTAGCCTATTACCCTCCTCATCCCATTCACTTAAAGCCACTTTCTCCACCTTCTCATGGTTTCCTGGATTCTACACAAACTCACTCTTACATAAATATGCATATATAACAATTAGATGCTAGGATCAGAAATTTGAGACAGAACATATGCTTGTATTTCTGAGCTTATGTCATATTAATGTAATATTCTCCAATCTCATATATTTGCATTCAAATTTTATTTTTCTTTATGGATGGATAAACTTTCATTGAAAATAGTTACCACACTTTCATTATTTATTCATTTGTTTGTGGACATCTATGTTAGTCCATTTCCTTGCTGTTGTAAATAGAGAAGTAATAAACATGAATGAGCATCTCTATGGCAGGATAGAGAGTCATTTAGCTATATGTTCAGGAGTTGTGATGCTTGGTCATGTGGAAGTTTTATTTTAATTTTTTGAGAAGCCCTTTTATACTGATTTCTATAGTGGTTATATGTAGCAGACGTTGTTGTGGGCCACCAACAAGCTCCCAAATTATGACACAAAAACTTATTATTAGTTATGAGTGCTTGGCTTTGCCTTATGCTTGTCACAGCTGGCTCTTATAACTCATTTTAACCTGTTTCTCTTTATCTACATTTTGCCATGGGGATTTTTACCTTTCTTTCATTCTGTATTTCCTACTCTGTGTCCGGCTGCCTGGTGGCTGCCTAGCTGCCTGGTCCCTCTTTCTTCCTTGTTCTCTCCTCCCCCCAAGCCTAGACTCTCCCTCTGACATAGTCTCTCTGCCTGCCATCCCTGCCTATCCTTTTACTGCCTAGCTATTTACCATTCAACTTTTTATTAGATCAATCAGGTGCCTTAGGCAGGCAAGGTGAAAGAGCAGTGCATCTTTACATAATTAAACAAATGCAGCATAAACAAAACCAACACACCTTTACATCATTAAACAAATGCAGCATAAATAAATGTAACACATCTTAACATAGTTAAAGTAATAGTCCATAACAGTTATACACTACTTTTTCTTCATTCTCCTCGCTTGCCTTCCCTAGGCTCAAGGGGAAGTATTTCTATTGGATGTTAAAATCTTTTTGCAGGTTAGAAAGAAAGATGTCTTCTGTACTAGGTTGAGTCCCCGATCCCAATTCTTCATCTGCCTCAATCATGAGCTCTACTGTACCCCTGCCATGAGCATTAGAGTTTGAGTCTTACCATTTCATAAGTATTTTTCACTCATCTCACAGTCCCAAACTATGATGTCAATGTGTTAAAAGGATCAAGGTTTGGATTTTTTGAAATAAATAATTTTTATTTATTCTTTCTTCTTGGGGAAGTACATGTACATGATGAAATATACAGAGAGAGATATCTATATGTAATATTATATTATACATGAACTATCATATCTACCCCCCATTTACCCCATTCAAGTCCTCCTTACTTCCCCTAACACATATCCCTGACAACTCCACCTCTTCTTTATTTGGATAACCTATTAAGTCCTATTAGTGTTGTTCATATGTGCATGGGTGAAAGGTCATCCACTGGAACATTGGAAACCTACCAGTGCAAATTCCCTCAAAAAAAAAAAAAGCTTCTCAGCAATATGTAACCAGTCACTTTCTGGTTGGATTTAAGGCCATCTCTGCTGGAGGAAACATATGCATGGTACTGTAAATCTGATCAAGTGCCCATGGTTGGTAGTTCATATACCCCAAGTTAATTTACAACTATTATTTTGATGGATACACATGGAATCCAACTGTCCTCTAAGTCCATATCTTTATATCCATGGATGAATTCAACCCTCAGATCTCACCAGAGAAGTTTCATTATGCAATAGATGGCTGCTTATGCAGAAACTCACAATTGGCCAAAGCACTGAGAATAAGTGTCTGTGGAGTGTTCAGCCACAAACTGGCCGTCTCTGTCACACTCCCTTCTCCCAAGGCTCAATGACCATTGTGGAAGAAGGGGCAGAAAAATTGTCAAAGCCAGATATTGGGCTTATAGATAATACCAGAGTGTGGCACTCACAAACTCACAGTAGCTGTTATTACAAACATTAATATTCTTGCATGGAGTGGTAAGGGGTTAATGAGGCCCCCGACCCTAGTTGAGAAGCTATTGACCATCAATGGATTCTAGTGTAAGTCAGTTTTCTTCCATTACAGTGGATGACCCAATACCCATGACTATATGAGCAGCATATATTGACCTCAGTGGGGTATAGAAAAAAGAGGATATGAAATTGGGAGAAGGCAGAGGGAGGGGTAGATCTGGAAGAACTTGAGGGAAGAGTGGAAGATGTGATCAAAACACATTGTATGCATGTATGAAATTCTCAAAGAAATGATAAAATATGTATGTATATAAAAAGTATTCTCTCTTACCCAGCAGCTATCAACTGCTAATAGTTCCAGAGGAATGGGGTAAGACCCTCATATATGCTAGTTTTGTTGACTTGATTCTTCTCTTGTGCAAGTAAACAGCTACTGTGAGTTCATGAGTATAGTAGCCATGTCAAGTCCAGAAGATAGACTCATCCTCAACTTCTTTGTTGAGGATGTTGTTACTTTCTTTCTGCCTCTACTTGTTCAGTGTTGTCCAGGCATTGATTGTAAAAAGGGAGTACTAAAAGTGTCTGGTTTGCCGGGCGGTGGTGGCGCACGCCTTTAATCCCAGCACTCGGGAGGCAGAGCCAGGCAGATCTCTGTGAGTTCGAGGCGCAAAGCTACACAGAGAAACCCTGTCTCGAAAAACCAAAAAAAAAAAAAAAAAAGTGTCTAGTTTAGGGGTGAATATTCATAATCTCTTAGTCTCTGCTAAGCCTGGATACCTGCCTCTGTACCAGACCTCTTACTCCTGATGGCCTCTTCCTATGTTCAACTCCAAAAATTCTCAAGACCATTTATGATTATCACTTTTACTCTCTCTCCCCAGTCCCAGGAAGGATGGAGAAGCCACTGGAGTGGACACAATTTGCACCTATCACCCTGACCACATAGGTCAGGGCCTGGCCAGAGAGCAACTGTACTTGGAGTTGAGCAAGATGACCTATGGTGTCACTCAGCTGGGCCCCTACACTCTGGATCAGGACAGTCTCTATGTTAATGGTGAGATGAGTATTCGCCATTTTTCTTCTGCTGAGACAACACACCTAACAAACACAGCTTAAGGAAAGGAAGATAAATTTTGGCTCAGGGTTTGAGAAAAGATATAGTTCTTCCTGGCACAGAAGACCTGGGCAGAGAGACAGGAATGCTGTCGCTCACTTTGCTTTCTCCTTTTTATTCACTTCAGGGCCTAAAGCCGTGGAATGGCACTACCCACGTTCAGTAGGCGTCTTCCCTGTTTAAATAAACTCCTCTGGAAATGCTGTCTCAAACACACTTATGTGTAATCTCATAGGTTATTCCAAATCCCATCAACCTGACAGCCAAGATTAAGCATTACAGGCTGCTCACCTTTATTGCTGTTCAGCAAGCCACATGTACTTCTTATCTCCTTTCTATCTGACCCCTAGACCCTTACTCCTCCATTTGTACAGCTTATACCCACTAGAGCTTAGTCACTACCCCAGCAGTGAGTATGATGAGGTTTCAGATGTCTGTAAAGCTTGAAATTTTCTACCATATACAACCCAGACATTAGAAATGGAGGAATCCAAGAACCTACTGTCTACACCTCAGCCTCACCCTCTGTCTACCTTGAGTGAGCAGAGATCTATTCCCTGCTGTTGTCCCAGATATAGGCACTTCCTCTCTGGAAAACACAGAAGAGTGGAGTTCACAACCAGCCCCTTAGGGTGCTTTCTCCATAGCTTTTACACTGGGAGCTCCTACTTTAACATAAAAGGTCATGTTTGAATGTGGATTTCTTCTTCCTTCCTGGGTGAGCTCCATGGCTAAAGGCATGCTACAAACACAGTCTGAAGTAAAATGGGAAATAACATCTTTCTTAAGACAGACTTAGAAACTCCAGTAATTTAAAATGCTCTGTGGCAGAGAGCTTAGTTCATGCCCAAAGTTGCTTTTTTGTTGACAATCTTTCTCTTTCCTCATCACTTTTTCATGTCTCTACAGGTTACACCCATCCAGCCTCAGATACCATCCCTAACAGTGAGTATTTCAGACCTCTACATGTCCCTAGCCACCTCCTTTCTCCACAAATATGAGATGCTGGATGAGCCAACCTTTCTTCTATTATCCACTTTAAATGAGCAGGAGTTCAAAAGGTTCATAGAAATGTAGACTAAGATAGAAAGAATAAGATTCACCCACCCTTCCCCAAAGCACACAACCCAAGGGTGATGCAAATTTCAAACAATAGATGTCATAAAACAAAACATAGATTCTTGGCTATAGTCATCCAGGCTGCTGCCATTCCTTAAAGATATGTCACAATTTGTATTTCATTCCTCATCTTAGGTTTTTTGTTTTTGTTTTGTCTCAACACCTATGACTACCACATCCTTCCCAGCTTCCTCTCTTGCTCCATCCCCTACAACCAATTCCACAGGTAGGGAGGGATACATGCTCTTATTGGTACCAATAAGGCAAGCAAATCATTTCATCTCTCAATGCCCATCTACCTTTGCATTGAAAATTTTGTTTTCTGTTATTCAATCTAGTTACTCAGGATCCAAATTCTGATCCCAGTCAGTACCACAAAGGAGTTCCAGAGCATTGGACTACACATTTCCTAGATATCATTCAGGTCTCTTTGACCATCAACTTACTTACTTTTTTTTTCTGTTACTGTGATAAAGTATTCTGATCAAAGCATCTCAAGGAAGGAAGGAAGGAAGGAAGGAAGGAAGGAAGGAAAGAAGGAAGGAAGGCCTTATTTTTATCTGTTTAAGATATAGTCCATCATAGAGTTAAAGTGGTGGGAGCGTGAAACAGTTGGTCACATCACATTCACAATTGGAAAACAGAATCATGAATACATGATAGTGCTCCAGTGCCCTTTCTCCATTTTATACATGACAGGGTGCCTCACCCATGGAAAGATCCTGTTCAGAGCTATAATGTGTTTTCACGTATCAATTTATATAATCAAGATAATCTCCTACAAGTATGCTAAGCCTATCTCCCAGGTGACACTAGTGTCTATCAAACTGACCATCAACAGGAACCATCACAGTCACTCATCCTGAAGATACAATTGTCCTCCAAATGTTCTTCTCATAATTACCAAGGGCAGAGGCAGAGTGCCAACCTTCACCCCTCCTCTTGTTCACTTCCCACATCCAACTGTCATGGAATCTCATCTCTTGTCCCTTTGCGAGCACTCCCAAGCCTCTTCTTTCTCTGTAGTTACACCATTTAGACTTTATTGAAACCAGCGTTATTTTCCCTAGGAAGACTATAGCAGCCTCTATTCTGGCTTCCTAATGTCTTCCACATAGCAGCTATGGCATTCTTTATGATGTGTTTGTATCTATAGAATTCCTTTCTTATAAATAATATTTGAGTGATTCTATTTGTTCTTAGTCACACCCAAAGCTTTGTGCTACTTAACCATTGCCTCTCTGGAATAAGCTCGGAGGGTCCAGCAAATCTCACACCTGTACTTCCCTCTGGCCATAGTAAAGTAATTTTAAGTTCCTTTAATTCACCAGGCTCTCTTCTCCTGCATGCCTTTACCCAGGATGCCTGGAGTGTTTTCCTTATTGGTTAGATTCTAGCAATTCTTAGCTGTGCTTTTTGTCACATATGAAATAATGCTTTCTCTAAAGAGTTTTTGTTAGTCATTGGTTGGGTCACTCTCATGATTTTCCTACCTGCCCTTCTGCTAGCTTCTGTAACATGAATCTTAAAAGTTCTTATTAATAAAAAAAAACCTGGAGCTCGGTATTGGGGTGAACATTGAAAGATCAGAGAAGCAGAACAGCTTCCTCACCTTACCAATTCCTTAGCTGACCCTGTTTCCTCAGACTGGAAGCCTCTGAGTCCTCATCCAAATTGATCTTAGCTGAACTTCTGCTAACAACCTAAAAGCTTAACCAGCTCTAGTTCCTGGTTTTCATGCCTTATATACCTTTCTGCTTTCCCATCACTTCCTGGGATTAAAGGCATGAGTCACCATGCCTGGCTGTTTCCAGTGTGGCTTTGAACTCACAGAGATCTGGATGGATCTCTGCCTCCCAAGTGATAAGATTAAAGGCGTGTGTGCCACCATTTTCTGGCCTCTATGTCTATCTAGTGGCTGTTCTGTCTTCTGACCCCAGATAAGTTTATTAGGATGGACAATATATTGGGGGACACAATATATCACCACAAACTTCCTGGTTTATACATTAGATGATGATTCCCTGTTCATCTTTGGATCTAAAGAGTTTATCACACAGCCTTTCACACACAAATTATTCCTGGATGCATGAAGAAAGATTCCAATTCTAATGTTTAAGCAGGTCTGGAATGTGCCCTGCTTCAAAATCTATTAGACCAATAATGTCACATAGAAATAGAAGCAACCTTGGTCATTACCAGTTCTAAATCGGGATTCTCTATTTTCCCCACTACTATAGGCAATGGTACTGTCATAGTACCCATAACTCTCAACTTCACCATCACCAACTTACACTATACAGAGGAGATGGGAAATCCCGGTTCCTTGAAGTTCAACTCCACTAAGAGGGTCTTACATTATTGGGTGAGTCCTTCAAAGAAACCCACCAACTACCTTACAAATCCCTAACAAAGCCTCATCTATATTTTTTGCTAACTCTTTTTATTTATTTATTTTTCCATCAGCTTGAGACCTTACTCAATAAGACCAGCATTGCCCCACACTATTCTGGATGCAGATTGTCTTCACTCAGGTAAGACCCCCAGATGGAATGGACTATTGTGAAACAGCCAGCAGAGATCATGTACTTCTAACATCCCATTTTACCATCCACCCTGACGTTCTAACACTTTCTTCTTTCCCAGATAGTGTGTAGATTGAGTTACAACTTACTAATAGGAGTTGTTTAATGTAGAAAATTCAAGTGTTATTCTACTTAAAATGAGAGTCTCTTAGAAGAACTTTCCTGTATACATTATAAACAAAATATTTTATGAAGTTCTAGAGAGATGGGTCATTTGGTACAATGCTTCCCATAGAAGCATGAAAAAGTGAACTCAACCCCTAGAGTCTGCATAAAAAGATAGATGTGGTGGCAAACATTTGTAAACCCAGCACTGGCAAAAAAGAGAAACCCTGATTCAACAATAGGAGAGAACTCACTCCTGGAAGAAACAGGCAGATGAAATAAGTCAGTCAGCTTAACCTAACTGGAAACCCTAAGGTACTAATGAATGAACAATAACAACTAAAATGAAAAATAGTACAGGATGCTGGGCTAGCAAGATGGCTTAGTGGGTAAAAGCATTTGCAAGGCAAGCTTGATGATGAGTTTAATTCCCAGAATCAACATAAAATGCCAGATTTGGTGGCATGCATTAGTAATCCTAATACTCATACAATGAGGTGGGAGACAGACAGAGAGGAATGTCCCAGCCAGTTGGCCTGGAGTATGCAGTTCATCAGAAAACAGAGAGACCCTGATTCACCAATGTGAGAAAGCAGAATCCTCGAAGCTGCCCATATACTCTGTGTTGCTTGCTTGAGTCTAATCACACACACACACACACACACACACACACACACACACACACACACTGATTTCTGATCCTCCATGTCCAAAGACTCAGAGGAGACACTAGAGACCCACTTTATAACTTTATTACCACCCCCTTCATAATCTTCAGCCTTCTTCCTTCTGCCCCCTGCTTTCAATGTCCCAAGTGCTCAAGAACCGACCTCAATGTTTCAATCTCTCATGTCTTTCTTCTAGGTCTGACAACTATGGAGCCACAGGAGTGGACATAATCTGCACCTTCCATTTCGACACCATGAGACCTGGGTTAGACCAAGATCAGCTATTTTGGGAGTTGAGTCACGAGACCCATGGCATCACCCGTCTGGGTCCCTACACCCTGGACCAGAACAGTCTCTACATCAACGGTGAGATCCCACATTTAAGCCATGATCTCTCTCTCTCTCTCTCTCTCTCTCTCTCTCTCTCTCTCTCTCTCTCTCTCTCTCTCTCTCTCTCTCTCACACACACACACACACACACACACACACACACACACACACACACACAGATTCTCAGGTTTCGCTGAAGCACTGAGCAATTCAGCCCTCTCTCTAGAATGATTTCCCTTCCTTTTGTGTCTGTGCTCTCTCTTTATTATGATGACTCAAAAACACCACGGGGAGCCAGGGAGAATGCTTGCTCTGAATGAACAGGGATCTTGGTCCCATCAGCATCCCAGTTTCTCTTTTCAGAACCACATCTCAGTTGTTTGGCTAAGAGCAAGGGTAAAGCCTTTGCCTCTGCTTTTACCCCCAAAGACTCCACATTCTCCTTTTGCCTTAATCCGTGATATTCATCCACAAGTCCCTCACATTTTCTTTCTGTGCAGGTTACCATTTTGGAGCTGCAGCCCCAGCTACCACCAGTGAGTATTTCTGGCTGTCATTGCTTAGGTTCTGCCTCCAAGTTCAGGGATCCTGAAAATGGTGCTTTTTCCAAAGAGCTTTTTAAATCATTGGTTGGATTTTATAGTCATCTCCCACTAGCATTCACTTCCCTGGCCAAAAGGTTGAAAGACTGTTGTCTGTTAATCTTTGGACCTATAGAGGCTATTGAAGAACCTTGCATACATATACAATAAATGTTACTTGGAAGAATGAAGGAGGCAGGTCTTAATAACTTAAGAGTAGTTATAGAATATCCTCTGTTTTAGACACTGTTAGTCTCACAGTATCCCATGGTTATATCTGGGAAGAGCTTCGTTCACTGCTTTGTTCCAGGCTGGGAGCTTCTTTCTTCACCTGCTCCTTAGTCAGCGGTTCAGTGGTGGCACTCATCACTCTCAACTTCACCATCACCAGCATCCCCCAACACCTCAGTGAGAGAAACAGCACCCTCCTCACCTGGCTCCTTGAGTGAGGAAGACTTAGACCCACACACCATCTCCTATCACACTGACACTTGCATGGGTTCCATTTTAGTTCTCTCACAAACCTGATGCTGTTGTCCTTAAGAAATAAATTAAGGCACAATAACATTTTTTCTTTTAAAGAATTTATTTGAGCAAGTAATAATTTGTGAAGTGAGAAAAACCAAATCAAAGGTGGTTCAGGTCTTCTAAAGAAAGACAATGGGGAAGCAATTACAGACAAATTCTGAACAAAGCTAGGAAAGTACTTGGTTATTTGCAACTATGCATTAAATTGTCCTTATTTGATTGGTCCTAAAGCTCTTGTTGAATAAGTTATTGGGTGACTTCTGGTTGATTGAGATGGTTTAATTTTGTTTTTCTTTTTCACATTTCTCTCTCTCTCTCTCTCTCTCTCTCTCTCTCCATCTTTTATACTGGTACTGATAGTAGGATAGAGGGAGAAAAGAAGGAGGAGACAGAGAGGTTGGGGAGGGACAGGGAGAGATGGAGGAGGGCTGAAGGATGGGAGACAGGGAAAAGGAAGAGGGAAAAAGAGGGAGGAGGTGAAACAGAGGGATGGGAGGAGAAGATGGAGAAATGGAAGGGAAGGGGGCAGAGAAAGTGTAGGAAAGAAAGAAGTGAATTTAGATTTCCTATGAAAATAAACTGCACAAGAAAATAAAATTTGTGGATTGCTATTCTTGTAGGAGTAAACTGACCCTCTCTGTCTCCCTGTCTTTCCCCGTCTTTCTCTGTCTCTGTCTCCATTTTGGTCTGCCTCCCCAAACCCACCTCTGTGTGTGTGTGTGTGTGTGTGTGTGTGTGTGTGTGTGTGTGTGTGTGTGTGTGTGCGCATGTGTGCTTGCATAAACCTGCATGTACATTTGAGACTGCATTCCCAACAAAATTTGCCAGTATCAGTTGCTCTTAAGAATCCAGGAGATCCAACTGGGACTTCCCGCTCCCCTAAGCTCACTTCCCCCTGACCTTTGCCCTTCATTAACCCCCTCACTCCAACTTTGCTCATGTAGATCTCATCCATTTCTCTGTCATTGGGTGATCCCTGTGTCTTTCTTAGGGTCCTCTTTACTAGGTAGCCTTCCTGTAGTTGTGAGTTGTAGTCTAGTCATCCTTTGTTTTACATCCAATATCCACTTATGAGTGAGTACATACCAGTTTGTCTTTCTGAGTCTGTGTTACCTCACTCAGGATGATATTTTCTAGTTCCATCTATTTGCCTGCAAACCTCATGATGTCATTGTTTTTCTCTGCTGAGTAGTACTCCATTGTGTATATGTACCACATTTTATTTGTCCATTTTTCAGTTGTAGGGCATCTAGGTTGTTTCTAGGTGCTGGCTATTACAAACAATGCTGATATGAACATAGCTAAGCATGTGTCCTTCTGGTATGATTGAGCATTCCTTGGGTATATGCCCAAGAGTGGTGTAGCTGGGTCTTGAGGGAGGTTGATTCCCAATTTTCTAAGAACGCGGCATATTGATTTCCAAAGTGGATGTACAAGTTTGCATTCCCACCAACAGCGGAGGAGTGTTTCCCTTGCTCCACAACCTCTCCAGCATAAGCTGTCTTCAGTGTTTTTGATCTTAGCCATTCTGACGGGTGTAAGATGGTATCTCAGAGTCATTTTGATTTGCATTTCCCTGATGATTAGGGATGTTGAGCAATTCCTTAAATGTCTTTCAACCATTTGAGCTTCTTCTGTTGAGAATGCTCTGTTTAGCTCTGTAGCCCATTTTTTAATTGGACTGTTGGGTATTTTGATGTCTAATTTCTTGAGTTCTTCATATATTCTGAATATCAGCCCTCTGTCAGATGTGGGGCTGGTGAAGATCTATTCCCATTCTGTAGGCTGTCATTTTGTCTTATTGACTGTGTCCTTTGCCCTACAAAAACTTCTCAGTTTCAAGAGGTCCCATTTATTAATTGTTTCTCTCAGTGTCTGTGCTACTGGTATTATAATTTAGGATGTGATCTCTGGTGCCAATGCATTCAAGACTACTTCCTACTTTCTCTTCTATCAGGTTTAGAGTAACTGGATTTATGTTGAGGAACAGAGTGGGAGAACAAGAAAAGAGACACCATGATAAATGAAGACCCCATGGGAATAGAAAGAAGCAGAGTGCTAGAGAGGTCCCCAGAAATCCACAAAGATACCTCCACTGTAGACTACTGGCAATGGTCAAGAGAAAGCCTGAGCTGACCTACTCTGGTGATCGGATGGCCGAACACCTTAACTGTCATAATAGAATTCTCATCCAGTGACTGGTGGAAGCAGATGCAGAGATCCATGGCCAAACCCCAGATGGAGCTCCAGGAGTCCAACTGGCGAGAGAGGGGAGGAATTATATGAGCAAGAGATGTTGGGACCATGATTGGAAAAAGTACAGGGACAAATAGCCAAATTAGTGGAAAAACATGAACTGTGAACCAATAGCTGAGGAGCTCCCATGGAACTGGACTAGGCCCTCTAGATAAGTGAGACAATTGACGAGCTTGAACTGTTTAGGAGGCCCCCAGGCAGTGGGACCAGGACCTGTCCTTAGTGCATGAGCTGGCTTTTTGGAACCTAGGGCCTATGCTGAGACATTTTGCTCAGCCTTGGTATAGGGAGGAGGGGACTGGACCTGCCTCAACTGAATCTACCAGGCTGGGCTGAATCCCCAGGGGAGACCTTGCCTAGGAGGAGGTGGGAATGGGGGTGGATGGGGGGGGGGGAAGCTGTGGGTGGGAGGAGGGAGGACAGGGGAATCCATGGCTGATATGTAAAATTAAATTAATTATAAAATAAAAATATTTATTTTAAAAAAATCCAGGAGATCTGTCAGAAAGAAATAACTTCTCTTAAAGAACCACAACTCAGTTTTTTCACTTAATATATCTGGTTTGGGTTGATTCGAAGATGTCTCCAGCACAGCATTAACAACACTGTAATTTTCTGGGGTTGGCTAAGTCTGTAGCTGGGAGACTGAAAGTCTTCTTAAATTACCCTACCAGCTTTTGAACACTCATTAGACTTAACCCATTTAGGCACCAGTGACTTTAACAATCAGTATGTAGAAACAAAAAAAGTAAAAAATTTCCCATCTTCAAAACAGAGATTAAACTAAGTAAACAAATGAAAACATGTTCAAAAGACATTAGAATGAGAAGGCTGTGATTTAAAAAAATATATTAAAATTCATGTTTCACGAAGCCAATATAAACTTAAAGAACTCATGAAAGGGGATATTTTAGCTGTGAACACTGTCATTATACTGAATAAAGATTATATACCTTGTAAAGGAATAAATTACACTCAATTATCATTGAAATAATGATAATTTACCTACAACTCAAGGCATTTGTTACTATAATTCCTAGCAAATTTCCAAAATATAAGAAATAGACAAAAGTGAGAGCTCCCATCCGGACCAGAGGTGAGCGACTGGGTTCATACCCAGGGAGGCCTGCCCCTAGGTCCCATCACTGGGCCCCAGCCATCCTGGGGAAGACCTGCCCAACTTGGCCCCAGTTGCCGGCCAGCGGGCAGGGCTCCCACAGGAAGGTTCCCCTTCTCCAAGACCCCCCATCAGACCCTGCAATCTATGCGCCCTGCCCCCACACCCATCCGCCCGAGACCCCTGCCACTTCCTGAGACTTGGAGACCAGCCCCCAGCTCTCATCCGGGCCAGAGCTCCCATCTGGCCCAGAGAGCTCTCATTCAGCCCAGAGAGTTCCATCCAGCCCAGGAAAAGAGAAAGTTCTCATTGGACAAAGAGCCATCATTGGACCAAGAGTAAACTCATGAGACAGGGAATCTGCCAGCCCTGATTAGACCAAGAGTGGCTTTCTGAGAAGTAGAATCTGCCACCTCTCATTGTACCAAGAGAGGCTTCCTGAAACGCCGAATCTGTCAGCTCTGACTGGACCAAGAGCCCTGATAAGACCAAGAACAAATCCGTAAGTCACAGAATCAACTAGCTTGGGTTGACCCAAGAGCAGCTCGCTGAAACACAGAAGCTCCCTGCACCAATCAGACCAAGAGCTAAGATTAGACCCAGAAGGGCCCCCTGAGACACAGACACAACAAACACAGAGTGGACCAACAGCAACTCGCTCAGACACAGGCACTCCTTATACCTATTAGACGAGGAGATGGGCAGACATCAAGGCAGAAGTACATATAACAACATAAAGAGCAATACAGCATCACCAGAACCTAGCCCTCCTCCAACAGCAAGATTTGAACATCACAAGGTAGAAGAAGCAGAGGAAAGCAACCTTAAGAACAGAATCATGAAGATGCTAGAAGCCTTTCAAAAAAAATGAAATTGAGGAAAAGATAAACAAAAAAGTAGACGAAATCAATAAAGAAAATGAGAAAAAGTCAAACAAAAAATGGGAAGAAATCTATAAAGAACTAGAGGAAAAGACAAATAAAAAAGCAGAAGAAAACAATCTCTTAAAGAAAATCATGAAAAAGCAATGAAACAGGTGAGGGAAACAGTTCAA